AATAATAATTTTATCAAAATTATAGGGCCACAAAATCAGTTTCTCTCGGTTTTGTGATGTGAAACGAAAAGTGAAAAGTAAGTTATGGTTTAGGCAAATGAGCTATATAGGAATTGGATTGGTTTATGAAATAATGTATTGAATGGAAATATGGATTAAGTACTCCAAAGGTTAAATACTCAACCCGACCAATAATGACGGTGAAAGGTTGTTCATCATCGGGTTTGATTTTGGGGAGACATTTTTAGATGTCTACACTAATGAAGACTTTTTAATTTGGATACACGTTATTACATTTCAATGTGGTGAGAGATGGATGTTACACATAGGATGACACATGGCGCACATGTGGCACCAAATAATAATAAGGGTACACATGGCGTTAGCATGTTAATCCCATGAGTTTTAATAATAATAAATATAGATTTTTTAAAAAAATAACAATTTAAAAGTTAAAAATTATAGAGTTACCCTAATTTTGTTTATTATTATTCCAAAAATGAGGTGACGTAAAAAAAATTATTGTACAATTGAAGTACGGATTATTGTACACTTGATGTACGGTTGCCAAAAACATTTGTATGTTATGATATACTTGAGTATCACATTGTATATTCATGATACATAAGTAAAACACTATAGTTAGTGATCAATTATGTCCACCGATGGCTATAATTACAAACTATCATTTCTAAGTACGCGTGTGCTCTTCTCTCACACCAATGCACCCTTTGCTAATCTTTCAAGTCAAGTTAGTTTGTGCAACCAACATTATTTTTACCTTCTTTGTTTTTTTATATAGTTTCAATTTTATTTAATTTTTACAAATTAACTTTTACCGTATATGTACCTTGTGTAATTATTTTGGCTTCTCAAATCAATACTTATAACTTAATTATAACTTCTCACACCAATTATTTTTTTATTTTTTTTTTTGTGAAATTATGATTCATCATTGTTGTTGCCTAACTCCCGAGTGTTAATTACTACTACTTCAATTTTTGATGAAGTAATTAACACAAATACTTAAAAGAGTGAATCACGTAGCTTTGATTAAAGTTCAATTAAGCTTGCTAATGCATGGCAACATGAAAGACTACTTGATGTTGATGATGTATGTCTTTATTTGATTTGAAACAAATTTGTACATGAATGCATAATACTTCTTATATATTTTAAGTAGTCATTTAGATTTAAAATATTAATTGTTTTATTTTATAAATTGTGAAAAATATTCAAAGTGGGATAATGAATGTAAGGTTAAGGTAATAAGTTTTCTTATATGCGAGCACTAGCTTTTATTATCACATCATCTTTCCCCCCCCCCTCCCCAAATTTGTTTATTTAATGAATTATTGTCATCGTTTTTAAATACATGTTTCATTTTTCCATGCGCGGAGTTTTAGGAGAAATTATATGAAGTATATACTATATATTACGTATGCAAAGTAGTACTATGGAATTTTATATTGTATTTCTCCATAGTCCCTCTAATATTTTAAGTGTTTCAAAACGTTTGAATTTTACACTATACATACAACACTTGGATCAATGATTGTATGTGATTATAAATAAAATTAAGCACATTCATGAAGTAGTAAATGTTTTTTTTTAAATGGAAAATATATATATATATATATGTATATGTATATGTATATGTATATATATATGTATATGTATATATATATATATATGTATATATATATATATATATATATATATATATATATATATATATATATATATATATATATATATATATATATATATATATATATATATATATATATATATATACAGAAATGGAATTTTTTGATGGATTAAAATTTACCTGAAAATGGCAGATATCATTTGTAGTATATATGAAGTATATGCTAATATGGTTTAGATAGCTATTGGTCAATAGAACATTAATGTTAATATAAATTTTATAGAAAATAAGGGAAAGAAATATAAAAAAATATATATTAAAAAAAACATATTTGAAACAAAATTTTGCACAAGTCGAAATCACAAATGAAGTAACACTTGCTTAATCAGAAAATAACATTTTTAAATAATATAAAGTATGATTAACTATTTTTTAATATGATACTTAAACTTGCGTCATAAGCAATAACAATATCCTAACCAATTTTTTTTTTTGTTTTTTTGAAAACCGACAAAGAATATTATTAAATTAAATCAATTTCCGTCAAAGTTAATAAACTTTGCGGAAAAGGACCAAGACAAACAAATTCGTCGCAATTCCTAGTATCCCACCTAGCTACTAAGTGAGCTAAGGTATTCCCTGCCCGATTTACATGAGAAACAGAAAAATAATTGAAAAATGAAGAGCTAGCAATAACATCATCAATCAAAAGGAAAAAAGGGGAAAAACCAATAGACTTCTGTTTGATTCCCATAACTACATTCAATGCATCACTTTCGATCTCCACACTTGAGTACCCCATTCGCCTTGCGATGCACACACCAAACAGCACAGCAGCAGCCTCGGCATCACCAACAGACCATCCCAATCTACCTCTTTTCACAACAGCAACACACACCTTCCCCCTTTCATCACGTACCACTACACCCAACTGCACATCGCTTCCAACCATGGCATCACAATTTATCTTCATAACACCAAGACCAGGGCATCGCCGAGTTGTTTACTAATGGTGTAGCACGCACCACCTGAGGGCAGACCTTCACAGCTTACGCATTATAGTCATGGACCATCCTAGTCATCCCAATAGCCACCAAGGAAGGAGTGAAAGACTCATCATCAAACACAGCCTTATTCCTACAATGCCATGTTGCCCAGCAGAGAGCTGCAATGGTAGCTCCTCCTTCGTAGCTCTGTCACAAAGCCATAGAAATCTGGTGGTGAAACTCTCATTAGGTGCTTGGGCAATTAAGCCCCTAAAAGAGCTAGAAACCCATATGTCCTTTGCTGCCGAACACTCGAAAATTGCGTGGATGATAGACTCATCACCATGGACACAAATTGCACACATTTTATCATCAATCACATGGCGATATACAAGCCTTTCCCGAACCGCAAGAAAGCCTTTGCAAGCTCTGCACAGAAAGTGTCGTAGCTTAGGCGGAGCATTCAAATTCCAGATTATTTTCCACACCTTATCCCAAGTATCTCCAGTGTCAAAATATCCCAGATTCTTACATAACCAATACCCCGAACGCACACTATACTCCCCATTTTTATTCGGCCACCAATACATCGAATCAATCGGGTGTCTACATGACAGGGGAATAGACAACACTAAATCCGTTCTTCTTCAATAAAGGTGTTGTTTACAGCTTCGACATCCCAGCAATTGCTAGAATGGTCAATTAGATCAATTACACGGAGGTCCATATTACTATCAACAAAAGGAGTTGGAACCAAAGATGATGTATTACCTGGTAACCAAGCATCACACCAAACATTTATTGCACTGCCATTTCCTACCCTCCATTTGAGACCATCGATCAACAAGGATTTGGCACTCCACATACTACGCCAAGCATAACTAGGGCCAAAACCCACAGCTGCCTTCAACACATCCCCACTCTTAAAATACTTTGCCTTAAGCACCGTGTGTAACAGGGAGTCCGAATTATGATGAAGCCTCCAGAATTGCTTTGCAAGTAAAGCTCTATTAAAACATCGAAGGTCACGAAAACCCATACCCCCATTTCCTTTTGGTTGACAGAGAAGGTCCCACCGTTGCCAATGCATCTTCCTAGCAGTATCATTCGAGCCCAACAAAATTTAGCTAGCAGAGAGTGAAAATCATCTATCAAAGTGTTAGGAATTTTGAAAATACTCATCATGTAGGTTGGGATTGCTTGGGCCACAGCTTTGATAAGTATTTCTTTCCCCGGTCTTGAGAGCAATTTCTCCTTCCACCCTTGTAGCTTCTTCCATAGTCTTTCCTTGATCCCTGCAAAAATCACCTTTTTTGATCTACCGATAATCGTAGGAAGGCCCAAATATTTTTCATGTCGCTCAACCTCCTGTACTCCTAAAATCTCAATAATTTCCCCCCTTCGAACAGTACTAACTTTTTTGCTAAAAGTAACCTCGGTCTTGCTTAGATTGACTTTCTGACCCGATGCCCTCTCATACTTGCTGATGATGTCAGCTATAACGAAGCATTCTTGCACATTGGCTCTAGCAAAAAGTATACTGTCGTCGGCAAAAAATAAATGTGAGACTCGGGGAGCCCCCCTACAAATCCTCGCACCATGAATGAGCTTATCAGAAGCGGCTTTATTCAATAATCCAGAGAAAGAATCCGCACAAAGTAAAAACAAATACGGAGAAATAGGGTCACCTTGCCTCAAACCTCTAGAAGGAGTAACAGAACCCGAAATGTGTCCATTAATCTTAAAAGAAAAATTGACACTCTCAAGGCAGTCCATGATTCCGTTAATCCAAGCCTCGGAGAAACCCATCTTTTCCATCACCTTCACAAGGAACACCCATTCAACATGATCATATGCCTTGCTCATATCAAGTTCAACGCAATATTTCCTTCCTTCCCTTCCCCACCTCTCTTCATGGCATGAAAAATCTCAAAAGCTACAATTGCATTATCAGTAATGAGACGCTTAGGTACAAAAGCACTCTGATTCTGGGAGATCACATCCCCTAAAAACCCCTTTAATTTGTTGGCCAAAGTCTTCGAAATAATTTTGTAAATGACATTGCAACAACTAATAGGCCTAAATTCAGAGATTAATTTAGGATCTTCCACCTTCGGGATAAGTACAACACAAGTGTTATTTATTTCTTTTAAACCTGCTTCTCCCCTCCACCACTTCTTCACAAAGCCAATTATATCATTACCAATAATATGCCAAAATTTCTGAAAAAATAAAGCATGCATACCATCGAGGCCGGGAGCTTTATTCGGATGCATTTGGAACAGGGCTTGCTTAATTTCTTCACCAGTGGGCTCGACATCAAGCACTACATTCATCTCATCAGAAACCGTCTCCTCTATACCTTAAAATGCACCTTGAAACCCCATCGGCGAACTCATTGCAAAGAGATCATTAAAATAAGCCTCAATGAGATGCTCCAAGTCAACACGTTGGTGAAGCACAACACCATTCGAGTCCATTAAACCAAAGATGCGATTTTTTGCTCTTCGTTGGCTAGCTTTGTGGTGAAAATATTTTGTGTTTTTATCACCATCTTTAAGTTCATTTGCGCGGGCTCTAGCAAACCAAAAGGATTCTTCCTGCAAATAGAGAGAATCAAGCTCCTCGGATAAATTTTTACACAAGTCCAAGGTCGGACCATCCATTGTACCTTCCTTCAACTCACGCGGCTTTTGTTCGGCCTTTTTAATTTTCTTTTTGATCGAGCCAAACGTCTTACCCGCCCATGAACTCAACTCCACGCCACATCGAGCAATTTTCTGATTAATGTCCATAGCGAGACTCGCATGCCAGCTTCTATCCACAATCTCCCCACATTCTTCCCAGGAAAGCCAGAGAGGCTCAAACCGAAAGCTCTTGCCATTTGCCACAGTATCCTCTCTCTTCTTTACGGACACCATAATTGGAGCATGGTCAGAGCTGTAAATAGGGAAATTTCTAGCTTCATATTCTGGAAATAAGGACACCCATCCGTCATCAGCAAGGAACCTATCCAATCGTTCACACACATAAGTCGTCATGGAACTTCCTCTTTCCCAAGTGAAAATACTTCCTTTAAAACCCAGATCTCGAAGGCAACAATTATCAATAGCACCTCTAAATGCATCCATGAGCCTCTCACTTCTAGGGACACCCCCTTCCTTCTCACTCGGACTAATTATTTCATTCAAATCACCAAACATAACACATGGCAAATTACTTTTTGACTTCAGAGAAACCATCAAGAACCAAGTATTGTGTTTCTGCGCTTGTTCCGGCCACCCATAAATGCCAATAGCTCTCTAAATAGGAGAGTTATTACCATCAAGTACATCCACCTCAAAGTGATGATCAAAGTAAGAGACCACATTTGCATTTATGTCTTTCCACCAAAAACCCATACCCCCAGAATTACCATTACTACTGACACATAAACCATAAGAAAAACCACATCTATTTTTTATTTTATTTAAATTAGAACTATCAATCATAGACTCCACAACAAACATAAAATTTGGCCTTTCCCTCCAACATTTATCTTGGAGGGCACGAACTCGCCTCGGGTTGCCAAGCCCGTGGCAGTTCCAGCTTATTATTTTCATTGTTTTTCGAGGGCTTGGGCATTCCCAAGGCCCTCTACTTTATTAACAGGAACAACAAAAGAATTATCACTAGCACCCATTTTCATCTTTTTTCAGCACAATTGACAGTAGCATTAAGATCATTACCAATGACATCTTCCACACTTCTTTTCCTAGAGGCAGTGAGATCCCCCAGCTTTCGGAAGTGTCCATACAAACCATGACATCCCTTCTCCTTTTACTAAGCATCTTCTTGGAGCAAGTAGGCGCTATAATTCCTTCATTGAGTGGATTCCCTACAGCAGCTATGTCACCCTTCACAATATCGTCCCATTACGAAAACCAGACACATCCCCATCCTCACACATCGGGTTTTCAACAAGTATACTCTTCTCCTCAATCAAGGCTCTTGGTCGTAGTACCATTTTACCACCCCCACTATCCGCAACAGTAACTAAAGCCACAGAAGGCGGCTTTGGAGTGGCCTCATTGCGTCCACCAGGGGAGGAGAACAGAAGCTTTCTTGCTGCCCCCGGAGGTCCTAGTCTGGTCACCAAAGGATCACTATAGTCAGCCCTCGGAATTCTCTTTTTCAACCTCAAATTCTCAGCCCATTTCCTCTCTTTTTCACGGTCCATGGCAGAAATTTTTGGATGGTGGGGTGAAGTAGTTAGATACGGGCCATATTGAAATACCAACGGCAATTCATCATCACACTTCTCCTTCTCCACACAATCCTTATCATTATGCCCGATCACACCACAAAAATAGCAAAAATCACCAAGTCTTTCATACTTGAGGCCAATCCACTTGGTAACCCCCGACTCCATAGCCACCTTCAACCCCCGTCGAAGGGGTTTGGTAATATTCACTAACACCTTCACCCTCATATACTCCTCCCACCCAATAGGGTCAGACTCATCCACCTCCAAACATTCACCAATGCAGTCACCCACCTCCCGAGCAAATCGAGAGGTTCGTTTCCCAAAAGGTACATCAAGAAGACGAATCCAAAAAGGGCAAGTATCGAAGCAGACATCAGAAGGCTGTTCATCAGCACAAATCTCCTTCAATAAGAGATTTTGGTTATCAAAACCCCACGGTCTCCCATCCAACACCTTTTCCCTATCCTCTGTTTTGAAGAACTGAAACACGAAAAGGTTCGTGTCGACAGAACGGATAGCCACATTGTCATCAATACGCCATAGATTTTTCAATACACGCTTCATTGCTTCGGCATTAAAGGTTTTCTTTGTGAGGAGTTTCCCCACCAAGCACAGGGCAATACGATTATCAGGTTCGTTCGCATCCACCATTGAATTCGATCCTTCGAGAACAAGGTTTTCTTCATCAGTCAATTTCAGATTGTCCCAAGCTTTCACTAGTTGGTCCTCCATCGCAAATCAGGTTCAAGATTATTATTTTGCAATTAATTTGGGGAAGATTAGAAGGAATTCGCAGGAAATTGGGGAAAAAATTGAGAAATTCGAGCCCTAGACCAGAGAGAACTATTTCACCCTACGCGAGGGACTTTTTCCCTAACCAAATTTATTTTTATGTAAGTAGATATTGTACTGGGTATATTTCAGCTAATAAAATCATTAGTTAAAATATAAGGATTTCATAATAAGTATGATATTATTCCGTACATAAAAACTATAATATTTTCCATACAAATTGAAATGGTATCAGTTAAGTTATCATTGACTAAAAAGTAACAATTTTATTTATAGATATTTTTACAAAAAAATTAAAAAAAAAAAAAAAAAAAAAAAAAAAAAAAAAAAAACTCTAAGGGCACACCAGAAGATGACACGTGTCATTATTATTGGTGTATCTTTTAGTATATATATTCATATGTGAGAATTCATACTTATATGAGAACTGATTTCAAATTTAGAACATGTGAGTAAAAGTTTAGAACATACGAGTAAAAATTTAGAACATGTGTCTGAAATTAAAATTTAGAACATCTGAGTAATAATTTAGAACATCTATGTGAGTAATATGTTTAGAACATTTTATTTAAGAATTAGAACAAGTGATTAAAAATTTATAAAATCTACTTTATGAAATTTTAAACATATGAGTAAAATTTAGAATATCTGATTTAAGATTATGAACATGTGAATAAAAATTTAGAACAAATTGATATAGAATATAGAAAGTGTGAGTAAAAAATTTAGAACATATGAGTAAAAAATAGGACATACGCTTTAAAATTTGGAACATATAATTAAAAATCTTAGAACACATTTTAAAATTTAGAACATATAAGTTAAAATTTTGGAACAAGTTATTTAAAATAAAATTTATGATATTAAACTTAACTAATTTATGGTTTAAAACATGTGAGTACTAAATCAGAACATTTGATTTAATTTAGAACATCTAAGGAAAAGTTTAGAACATCAAATTTAAAATTTAGAACATACGAGTAAAAATTTAGAACATAAAGAGTGTTCTCACATAAGAAAATATATATATATATATATATATATATATATATATATATATATATATATATATATATATATATATATATATATAATCCTTCATGGAAACACAACAATCTCTTGGAAACAATTTTGAATTTCCTCTTTCATATCATTGTTTGACACAAACTTTTAAGGTGGGTCTATTGAATAGTCGACGTCAAAATTCAATCAATTAGCATCTCACTTGTTTTCTTTTACACAGAGTTATTTTACTAATTTTAACTCTCTATTTTTTTCATCTCTAACGTTCCATTCTAATAAAATTTTAAAAGCAAAAGATGAAGAAAAAAAAAAACAAATGCATGGCTTAATTAGAATTTTTAATTGAACATGATCCATACAGACTTTAAAACAAGAAAAATCAAAACGTCTCAATAAATGGTGACAATGTATTTTGTACAATATATTTAAACAGTAAATAAACATTCTATTTATTCAATTGTTAGCTTTGATTTCTATTTGTTAATATATACATGTATACTAAAATCTTTTGGAAACAATTTTGAATTTGCTCTTTCATATCGTTGTTTGACACAAACTTTTGAAGTCGGTCTATCGAATGGTCGACGTCAAAATTCAATCAATAATCTTTTGGAAACAATTTTGAATTTTTTTCATATCTAACGTTCCATTCTAATGAAATTTTAAAAACAAAAGATGAAGAAAAAAAAAAAACAAATGCATGGTTTAATTAGAGTTTTTAATTTAATATGGCCCATGAATTTAAAACAAGAAAAATAAAAAATGTTGACAATGTATTTGTACAATATATACTGTATATAAACATTAAGTTAAATAGTATATAAACACTAATAAATATATCTGAGAAGAAATTATTTTATACAAAAAAATGGACCAACCTAAGGATTATTATAACCAAATTTTGTTTTTTCTCACTTATATTTTCAATATAAGTTTGTAATCATTCCCTTCATATAATCAATATAATGATGGAAATTATGGGTTTGACAAAAGCTAAAACACAATGATATATTGATATGGAGCAACAATACGTGGTGAAACCAAAAGGCAATGTATTTGCAAGAAATTCATCTTAATTTAGCTTTACTACTTTTCAAAAGTACAATTGTACAAATACATTGTCACCATTTCCCAAACCACTCAATTACATTTTAGGCATGGACTATTCTATTCTACTCCCAAATAAGGTAGAGGAGATTAAAGAAGCAGCAATATGATGTCAAAGTCCCACGCAAAAGACCCCAATGTAATAAGTATGCTTCAGTAAAAAAAAAAAATTAATTAACATCTTCACTCTCTCTCACCTTTGCTTTAATTCAATATTTAAAACATTAATGGATCAGTAAAACTTGCTTCCATTACAATTCTACTTACAATTCTACTTGTAATGTATTAATAATTTTATGATTTTTGTATAAAAAATTACATAACCGATAAAGTACCCCTTCTATTTCATATTAATTGTCTACTTTCAAATATCGAACTTATTGTAAGAAAAAAGATATGGTAAACATTTTATTTTGGAAAATGAAATCGACAATCAATGTAGAAAGGAAGGAGAGTGTGCATATATGAATGTATGTGCTACTTAATTAACTAATGTAGTGCTTAAAGTGAAAAAATCTTATCTGAACACCACTAATGGAGAATCATAGTAGTGAAATCCGAATAAGTATTCTTTAGCCGTTCATTAGTGATGGGTTGTCTACTCACCGAGTAGATGTAGCAGTGTCCGTTAAGAAGGGAAGAGCGGGGACCAAAAATAAATAATATGTGCGTGCTAAATTCATGTAGTTCTTGTGTACATTCCCCATGCAAAACCTGAATGTCACGAGGATAGCACAGTCATGGGGAGGTGATCATCTTTAACCTTTGCTTGCCATAATTGAAACCACTTGTTCCATCATTTTGTTCCCCTTCTCCAATTTTCCTTTGCCATGACTAAAATTCCACGCCAAGCAACAATCCCACTACTTTACTTGTATATAAACCCCTTCATCCTAAGCCTAAACCTCAATAACCTAATCTAAATTAAACCTATCTATAACCTATCACTCCAACCCCTGAAGTATCAACCGAAAATGGTACAAAGAATTTGTTTCTTCGTTCTCTTCTCTCTGTCCTTGTTTTCCCGGATAGCAGCACAAGACCGTGCACCCCATGGGCTAGCTTACCAGAGCCCGGCGACAGCCTTATCTCCCACGGCGTATGAGTTTTTCCACCCTAATGCACATCAAGACCCTTGTACTAAATCAAACTGTGCACCAATTCCATTAGCAGCTCAAGTGCATGAAATGCAGTCTGAAGCAGCAACAGAAACTTCCCCAATAACACGTACTACTGCTTTTGGAGCTGGAACGATTGCTGGCCCTGCTTTTGCAGCCATTATAGTCCTCTGCTTGGCAATTGGCATTTACTACGTGGCTAAGACTCGTCAAGAAAATGTAAATCGTACTAAACCTATCCAACCAGATGTTTAATTATATGTTTTCATAGTTTTACTGAAACCGTCTTTTACCTGTATTATACAGCTTTCAGGCTTACAGATTTCTAGCCACATAATAGTGTGTTTTTTTTTTCGTCTTTTTAGTTAGTAAGATGAACGAGATGGGGTAAACTCTGGCAGCAATTGAACCCCCATCGCTTTCGAGCATGGGAGATGGGAGGGACTACTACCGTCCCTCCTCTCCCATTCTCCCCACTATGACATTAGTTGCTGCTTGCTCGTGTGAGCTCACGTGTACTAGCTAGGATCTTTTTTACTTCTCTCTTTTCGATACGAAGAGTTTATTGTAGTAATTTATTAATGTATACGTAAGATTTTTGAGCATCAGTTTGCTCATTTCTTATGATTTTCTTTGCCAAACTTGTCACCCCTCTTCTTAAACAAGCAACTTAGCAACAATTGCAAATGGGGGAGGAGATAATCATGATTTAGACAAATATTAAAGTAAAATGATTAATTTGTAGCTAAAAAGGCTTTCGTAGTTAACTAGGGTTCCTTGATGAATACAATCAATTAAGAATAAGACGTGCTCGTATTTAAGCACTTAATTAATCCACTGTAATCACTCAGATGTCTCTTAGTAATGATGGTGTTTCAAAGCATTCACAGGTAATTGGACATAAATTCATAGTTTAACCAGGAATCACAGGTGAAAACATACAATTAAATAAAAAAAAATGCATTATTAATTCATTGTAAATTCCCAGCAGTCATGGCAATGATGGTGTTCATTTCTTGTCAATGCATCCACAGTCACGCACGTATACACGCACGCACACAAGCACAAATCTGTAATAAAATTCGACAAAAAGCTCCTGAAAAGAAGATAGTACAAAAACAATCTTCAAAGAATTGTAAAACATGCACGCACACCATTCTGCTGTAGGTTTCAACAAAACAAGGCCACAAAGCTCAGGTAGTAAGACAACAATTTATAAAAGAACAGGGATGCAGTGGTGCATTTGCTTTTCTCTGATCATACCATGGTTTTGAACCAAATATAATTCCATAATGGACTCAATGATAACAGAAAAGCACCTCTAGCTGAGTTCATCTATAAACAGATTACTTCAGTAAATAGCAAAATGTGCAAGTCGAGTTAACATTTTAACCTGAGTACCATCATGAAATTTCAAACTTTCCTGGACGTTCACAAAAGATGCAGACCAACTGAAAACACAACGTACAGGAGCCAAATCTAATTATAATTATCAAACAAAAATTTCACCCATGAAAATATGTAGTGGACTTTCAAAAGAACAATTATATCTATGAGTATGGATTAACTTGGATACAATGTCACTTATGTCAGTCATACAAAGAATGTCAAACTCACATATAACAATCTGGTTGACCTCCCTCACAGGGGCATGGAGCAAAACGTGACAGTTGCAGAAAGAATGCATATGCTAGTAACTGCATATATCTCCATTCTTTTTTATGCAGTTCATTCTACAATCCGATTACAGAGATTTTACCACCCACGTGAACTAAGAGATGCAATCACAGTCCCAAAAGTCTTATCTACAGCTTTGTTCCACAAATGTGCAATTTCGAAAGATTTTGTTGCAAGAACTGGCCTCTTAACCTGCATGGATCTCATTCAAGAGTAAGTCAGATAAAGTCATTGATTCTCATTATGATAAACTAGGATATAACTCTTATTGAGTGAAAAACACTTTCCTACACTCTGGGTAGATGAAGATAAACAATAAAGGCTACTTTTCTACTCCCCCTTCTCAATATGGTAAAATATCCTATAGCATGAGAGAATGTATTGGTTTTACTGATAATCTACACCTCATCTGGATTCCAACCAAAATCCCCTATCTCTTGATCTACACAAAAAGGTTCTATATATTCTAAGTCTAACAAGAAAAAAAAAAAACACAAAAACATAGTCTAATATTCCTTTATTTTCTTTTCAACAAAAATTGATGGAATTGGGCCTAAAAAAGCCATTCAGGTTTGTTATTTTTCTTCGTTCGTATCTCTTTTTCCAATTTCGGTCTCGATTAGTTCACAAGATTGAATGGCCAATTCTCCTCCGGACCCTCGATTCGATTGTTTTCCAAGAATGTTGGTCATTTGAGAATTTATTAATAAAAAAAATGCTGTGGAGACAACATGTTTTCAACCAACAATATTCACATTTAAAGAAAAGAGCCTATAGCAAAGATCCCCTGCCTTAGTAAGCAGCCAATACACTCCCTTTCAAAGTAACTTTAGAAAAATTTAAAGGTTACAACACATCATTAGCACAGAACAATTCATTCAATTTAGCATCAATACAAGGTGAGTAATGGTGTTGCAACAAATGCAAATATCATTTTGTGAGAAATGAAATCTCAATCATGTACTATACTTTTCGACATAGAGAGAATTGGAATTTCCCCAACATTTATTAGAGATACAACCTCTTAAAAAAAAAGGTTATGATAGAGGATGAAAAGGTGGCCAAGTTAATTAAAGCCAATGTTACAATGGCAAATATGGTCCTTTTTCAATGACATGCTGCTCATTAGAACACGTGTGGAAACGTAAATGGTACTTAGCTAAAGGTGCAAGTAATCATACAATCAAAGTAAATTTGTAGATCATAATCCAAAAATAATTCAAATGTAACTGTCGTTGATGACTCCATAACAAATAGAAATAAAGGTTGACCAAGGTTAGCTCAGAATAGGTTGGCCAAGGTTAAACTGGAAGATAATAAAAAAGAAATAAAGCATTTGGAATTCATGGCAACTATTAAAGGTGAGAACGGTTGTAAAATTGAAAAAGGAAAACAATTTTACAATGTCTAGAATACAAAACAATTTGAACCTATTGTTTAGGTGTCCATGACTAAAAACTGTATATATATTCCAATAAATTTACAAGCTGGAGAGTGAACCCGATCCAACTGTATACTAGACCTGAAATGACCCAACCTCATCCTAATCAACATCGCCAAGCTTGTTTACTTCACAAGCATTCAAGGATGCCTTTTATAAAGCAAGCCAAACAAAGATAAGGGCTTGTTCATTATCATTTTTTGTTTCTAGTTTTCTACTTTTTTTAAAACAAAAAACCAAAAGTAAGAAACTAGAAAAAGTAGTTTCACTTTTTTGTTGTCAGTTTTCTAAATAATAATGATATCAATGTGTCGGTTTAATTTTTTATTCTTTTTTTGACATATCATATGGCATCAAAAAAAACAAAAAAAACAAATATATGAAAACTACATTGATGCCAAACGGGGCCTAAGAAGCTGCATTAGTTAGTGCACATAATAATAAGAAGTTTAAAGCACTTATAGTAGAGAGAAAAAAAAAAAAAAAGTGGATATACAATCATTTCCAATAAGACAGCAACAATCCTCTTGGAGCCCCCTAAATCGCCAAAATATATTAGGGTGGTTGAAAGTAAGGATAGGACACTATTTTTATGAGCAATATTACTCAACAATTGTTTACCCAACAAAAGTTTATAATCCCTCCATTTTATTTTAAAAAGATAAATTTAATGAAGAAAGAAAAAGTCTAAGGACAGTTAAGGGTGAAGCTCTTCCATGAGCAATATTACTCACTAATTGCTTACCCAACAAAAGTTTATAAATTATAATCCCTCTGTTTAATTTTAATTTACTCACTTTACTTTTTTGAATTTTTTTTTTTATTATTATTTACAAACTTACAACTAACATTTTTTAATTGTCCTTTCTCCTAACTTTAAATACCTTGGTTTCCATAAAAATAAAAATAAAATAATAATAAAAAAAAGGTTTCTTTTTTTGTTTTTAAAGAGAGATCTAACTCATAAAATTCCTAGATCAATAGCCATTATTTTAGTGACAACCTTAAAATAAAAAAATTTCAAAAGATGTACACACAATTGTTTCAAAAAAAAAAAGGTGTATACACAACAAGGAATTGTAAAAGGTAAATTTAAGTGAGGCATTGAAAGTGAACTTGATTTATTGCACTAAAAATTCTACAGAGTATAGATATTACTATACATTATGAGAGGGTGAAAGTTAATTTGTAGTTTGCAGTAAATATTTTCATAAATTATTATGAGCATTACATTGATTATATTCAGCATAAGCAAGGAAATATAAAATACTTCGTAGTAAAGTCTGTCTTTGTAATTTAAAGCAAGTTCAATATGAAAACACATATAGAAATAGTTAAGAGCTCTCCTCTCTCTACTTTTGTTGAGTGATTATAATTAGGATCCTACAACTCTTATCATCATCTTATAACAATAGAAACTTGTGTAAGGTGACTTATTTCATGAATCTGAGCTACGTGCCAAATATGTACAACAAGATAGTCATTACCAGGAAGAAAGAAAAGGCATTAAAACAACAATTCCCACGGGATTTGTAGCAGGAAGGGATAATATACTACTCCACTTCAAATTCTGGAAATTCACGACACTAATATAACCAAAAAGTAACGAGACATAGGGAAAGCTATATTATACCAAAATCAAAAATAAGGCAGAGAAAACACCTAGGAAAGCTATAACTTATTTCATGACAATTTCTCATGCAACAGCAAAGAGACAAAGGAGGGCGGTGCACTAGTCCCTATCCATGTCAAGTCCAAATGTGAAATAGTGTACATATGTATAATGCCTCATCTTCTCAAAATGACGCAATAATTTAATCTAAGGACTCCATTCACATATCCATTGTTTAAAAAAACATATGATTAATAATGTTAAGTTTAACTTGCACCAAAAATTGTGTTAAGTTTAACATCATTTAATGGGTGCACTAAACTACCAGTTCATAACTATCCTGGAATTCTTTCTGTATACATTGAGGTTATTTCGAGTATGACATCGAAATACCGAATCACATCATAAAATTGACAACTTTGCAAAATGTAAGGAAATTTGACATTTGATGAAAAATGGCACATTGTAGCCTAAGATATCAACTCATCACAATTAGATTCCCAGAATAGTCCTAAAAAAATCGATTGGAACAATTGGCATTTAGCAGCAACAAAATAATCAATCAAAATGATAACAACATCAATCCTTCCTGTCAAAATAACTTATTGATAATTTAAAGTTCTTGGATAATCAACAATCAATGAAGCCGAAACATAAAATCGCAAATACCCCCAAAAATCAAAATAATCAAATCTAGGGTTCCAAAATTGAAAAAGCAAACAACATGAAATCAAAATTTTACAAAAACGGAGCATAAAATCAACAGCATTTCGAGTATCACCTGTAATTGATTATCGAATTTAGCATTATTCTCAGAAATAGTTTTGTAGATATTTCGTCGATTCTCGAAAACGACGGCAGCTGTCAGGGCACTTCCGAGCGCAGCGCCGAGTAATCGCTCCTGAAAAATGCGACAAAATCAAAATTGATTCGGTCAATTTGTTAGCTTTTGATTACAATTAACGTAATTTGAACTTGATGTTGGTGAAAATAGAAA